CATAGAAACAAGGGGGTGGTCATAGTGTTATGCCTGATCTGTGTTGAAAGTGTTCAGACTAATACTTTCCATGGTTTACTTTCTTAATTTGATTTGTTATGGCTGTTTTTGAAACCTCCATCTGGAGAGGTGTTTTGCAAAGCCAGATTTCTTAGTTGCTTGCATCCCCTGTTGAAGGAGAGGTACGGGACTTTCTTATTAGTCAGTCCACACTTTGGGCCTAAGTTGTGTAGTTTATGGAGAGATCCTGCTTTGTGAAATATCCTCCAGGTCATTTTACAGACAGCGTCACATTGAGTTTGTTCTTCAGTCCATATAGCCACTGCTGTGGAATCAGTCCCCTTTATTATCCATGTTAGAGCTGACAAATTTGGCAAGCTAGCAAAGTATCTCCTCTGTCTGTAGCTGAAACGCATGGTATTCACTGCACTGATGTATTTCAGAGACTCTATGGGTGGGCATATAGATGAACTTTCTCCTGACTGACCAGCAGCCATCACAACCAGACAGATAGTCAGTTCACCCAGTCTTCAGTATCAGAGTTAAATTTGTCTTTCACCAGATGTCCTTGCTGAACTCTAGCCTTGCTGCAGAATGGCACGGTAGATTTTGCTGCTTATGAATGTATTTTTGACCGAACAGTAAGAGAATGTGTTTAATTTCCCTCCCAGTCCTGGTGTTCTTGACTGGGCCAGAGAGCATCTCACTGCCAAGTGGACATTCCTTCACGGTAACACCATTCGCACACGCCTGCCAAACCCGGCAACGTGTCCTGGAGGCCTAGGGCTCCAATGTTTTCCCAGTAATCCTCCGACCCGGCCCATTTGGACCGACCTAACGTGATGTGACAGGGCGGACTCCTTGGCGTCGCTAGAGGACCCGCCCTGACACTCAGTCGTATGGTCTTTCACCACTCCCTTGCTCTCCCCCTCTATCCTTCCATCTCTCCCAGCAAATAATGACAATGGGTGTGGTAATCATTCCAATGACACGCATTGTGTGAGAGATATTCTCAGTGCATTTCACAATACAGCAACAGCAAAATTAGACCACACATCTGGCTCCAAACTGTGGGTGTGGTTGGAGGCAACAGCTAACAGTATTGAGTAAAGTAGGAGTTGAATCTATGTAGAACTGGAAGGACACATTAAGCAAGATAGGAAAACAACTATGGTTCAATGTCTGCTTTCTTTCAGGCTGGGAGGCTGAGAGAATGTCGGTTAAAAAGCATAGAAAAAAGAAAAGGATCAGACTTGGGGTCTCATTTATGAAACCTTCTGAAACTTAATTTTAAATATGTTTTAAAGGTCCCACTAGTCATATATGAGTGATTTGTAAAAACTTAATCACGTAAACTTGTGTTGATCTATGAACATATTTGCGTCACATTCAGAGTTTATGAATCAATACTTACATGTGCTTTGTTTTACAGATGAGCCAGCTGGTCTTTGTCATGTTCTTTTCTTACGGCTTGAAGGGTTTTGTTGTTTGTGTGTTGTTTTTCGTTTTTTGGGGAATGGGGCTGATTTTACAATAAGCAGATAACATTTTTTGCTTCCATTGAAGCATCTTTTACACATAGTCTTATAGTGTGAGATGTGATCTAGATGTGATTAGTAACCAACCCTCGTCCTGGGATCTACTTTCCAATAGAGGTTATTTTTAGCCTGAATCTAAAGTGCTGCCTCCTCCTTCCGTAACGCTAATGCATCTGTTTCAGACAATCATGGACTTCAGAAGAAGATTAGCTGAAGCAGGTGTTGCAGATTGTGTTGAAATCCTATTCTGCAGGAAGGTGAACTCCAGAACCAGAGTTGGAGAACACCATCATAACAAGAATGTGTGGGGACAATGATGAGAAATTTTGGCCTAAATGTGGGTGGGAACAGATTTATTAGAGTGGAAACAAGTATGGAAGCTCTAAACCAATTTAATATCTTGTGAACACACAGCTCAGTGTGATTTTGTCGGTGCTGTTGAGCAGTAAGCCTGTTTTTAGCCCATTACTGTAATGTAAGTTAGCATGGCTCAAAGGTCCCCCCGAAAAACTCCAACTAAGCGTATAGATTCATGCCACTTGTGTGGAGAAGACGTTACATGCAGAAAGGAAAAATTGCATTTCCCTAGCTTGTGTTGCCAGTTGAACTCCAGACGTTAAAAGAGCACAGACTAGAGGAATTTGGGGGTCGGTTTTAGAGAGGGCGGACCCTGGTTTGCGGTGCAACCCAGCTCCAGAAGTTTAACAAGTTGTCCCCAGATGTACATTTTCGTTACAAGATCACGTCTGGCCCCGTGAGACTGCTTCACACAATGGTGTAGGCCTCTCCTCACTTTTTTCCAAGTTTGGAAAAAACATGGCTTGGCTGCAGTGAATAGATGGTGGCGAGATGATTGGTGAGCTTTGATCATCTGTAATAAAACATGCCGGGTGCCTTACCAGTGCTGACTCATGTTCCTGACAGAACGCTGCTCTGAAATAGGCACGAGCAAGTTGGCTACTGTGTGCAGTGAATGTATGAAAGGAACACAGGCTTGAGTGCCCTGAAACATGTGTTTGGACAAGTTCTCATTCTCGCATCCTGCCTGCTGAAGCCTGTAACAAACCACAATACCTTTTGGGTGCGGAGATGAATCCCACAAGAATGAATTGAGTGTGCAGAGACTGACATCTCCCCCTTTTGAGCACCCATGTCTCGACGTAGATGCAGACATTCTTGACGAGTGTCTGGTGTGAATATTTTGGAGATATTGAAGATGTTTTGACATTGATTCTTGGACCTTGGAGTACTTGATTTGTTTTACTTCCTACCAAATGCTCTGAGGTGCATGAATGTGCGATACTCGAAATGGTGGCGACATTTGAGGAGTCCGAGAACTACAACCACCCGATTGCTATGACTTCATGGCATCTGGCATCATCAACTTTCACCAACGCTTAGGCATGTTAGCATTTGTTTGCTCGACTATCCGAGACATCTCACATTCCTCCAGGGGGTCTGTCCCTGCAGTTGGTTAATGTCAGTAATTCGGTCAAAGTCAAAGTCAACGTTGTCATTCCGTCTCGCCGCAGCCATGTGTTGTGAGCCATTTTGGTCAAAAGCATAAGCTAATTAACTATGTGTAAAGTATGCTTTGTATTTAAGACGCTTCGCTAAGATGTGTGCATGCCAGTGCACATTACCAAGGACCCTGCCACTAATTACACTGTCCCACTTCTGACTGTGCAGTCTCTGTTCATGCAACATGATACTTGCAGATGTAGCAGTTCTGCTCCAAACCCTAGCATAAGGGTGCACCATTGAATGCTTTTGAAGATTGCTTTGATGTTCTTGATTTTAAAGTATAGTGATATGATTTCTAAAGCTTTCTTCACACTGAAAAAATCAGTTTCCTAATGCCTGAAGGATCTGAATATGGTGTCTCAGTACATCAAATAAATTGTTTAGCTTCACAGTTGGTGAGATAAATATTCCTAATATCCCTAAAGTGTTGTAGCAATTCCATGCACCTTAAAGACCCAATCATTAGCTCTGAAACTACTGGTTTGGACAACGTACATATTAAATAGGAACAGTATTGATTAGTTGAAACCCAGGAACTGCCTTCATGGTGAAGTGATTCCTGCGTGGGCCTCTAAGCGCCTGCTTCTTGGGGTAGTAACAGGATTTATTTTGGTTATACTTTGTATGCGTTTCTACGGTGCGGATCTGGGTCACAAACAGCCCATCCAGTAGATCAAACAAATTGTGAAAGCACTCTAAAGCCCTATGTGGCTGGGATTATTTTTACTTTGGGAGCAGAAAGTGGTGGGTAGAGTAGCCTAAACCTGTACTCAAGTAAAAGTATTGATACTTGTGTAAAATAATAAACAACTTGAGGAGAAGTACACAAGTACCAGGTCAAACTACCAAAAAACTACTGAAAAAGTACTGAATAACTTTTAGAACTGCAGTGGAACAACTTCTTAAATCCAGCATTTATGAGGACAGAAACTGAACTTTGTTACGCTTTTTGGATCTTTTCGGTCTGAAGTAAAATGCTGAATCTCCAGTTCAGAAGTGTGACCAGTCACAAAACAGTGCGGAGATGTTGTCACCAACAGAACCTGAAGAAATTTTACATAAAAAAAAGGTAACTGAGTAAAAGTAGATTTCTTCACTTATTATTATACATAAGTAGATGTATGATCAACTGAAAATACTCAGAGTACAAAATTATCAGTATTTTACTTACGTACATGTACTTCAGTAAATGTAAGTAGTTACTACCCACCTCTGGGGAGCTGGGGAAATGTAGATATCACTGTAGTTTCTCAGAGAATTTAGTCCAGTCAGAATCCGCCTCATCAGTCATTTTTACAGGCTGTGTGATCCTGCATCAGTAAAAATTCTGGCGCCTTATACAAAATAATGTAAAAAAATGACTCCAGATTATATCGATCCTGTGCAAATTACCATGATGGTAAATATTCTGTGATATGCTGTGGGAAATGTGTTTTTTTTTCTGTAGTATAGAAGCACTCGTTCTTGTATTCTCTCGTCTCAAATCAAGATGTTTGTTTACAACTCTGAACATTTAAACATGTGAAAGGAAAGAAAAGTTTTGAATTTTTCTGTGAAGTTGACTGTTGGCTGCAAGTTCCTAAGCAAATGACAATGATAATTTCATTTAAGATAGCTAAGCAAAGGCAAACAAAATGATTAGATGAAGTATTTGGATATATTTTCTGCTTGTGAGCAGCTCAGTGTATTGCATATGTAACTATTTAGATGTGACAGCGGTGCATAAATCCAAAGGCCACTTCCATCTCTGAAATTTATCAATCAGTCATAATCATTACAAAATGTGGCACAATTACATTTCCCCGCCTCCCCATTGAAAACGAATCCTGTCTTCATGCTTGAGTTATTAAAAAGTCTCATTGTTTGACAAAGTCGTGAATCCAAACCTCAGATATGAAAGCTGGGTTTTGAGTAACGCACGTATGTATGTGCCTACAGGGATCGGGAAGGTGAAGCGGAAAACAGGGATGAGGGAAACAGCATCGAGTGCAGAGGCGGAATTTTACGCAGACAACGGCGAGCGGCTGTATGACTTGAACCTCCCGGCGCTGGTGAAGTTCAACTACACGGCCGAGCGGGAGGATGAGCTCTCCCTCGTTAAGGGCACCAGGGTCATCGTCATGGAGAAGTGCAGTGACGGCTGGTGGAGAGGCAGCTACAATGGCCACTCGGGCTGGTTCCCCTCCAACTACGTGACGGAGGATGCCGATGGCTCGGCCAGCGGAGACATGGGCTTGTCTGAAAAGCTTGCTGCCGTGGTTCACAGTGCCAACGGGAACAGGGTTCTGCACACGGTCCAGGCGCTCTATCCCTTCAGCTCGGTCAACGACGAGGAGCTGAACTTCGAGAAGGGCGAGGTGATGGACGTTCTGGAGAAGCCCGAAAACGACCCGGAGTGGTGGAAGTGCCGTAAAGCTGACGGGCAGGTTGGCCTAGTGCCCAAGAACTACGTGACCGTGCTGCAAGAGTCGCAAAATTCTGCCAACATGGCTGGACCGCCCACGCCTGACTGTGATTACATCGAGCCTTCAATGAGCGGCCGCTTTGCGGGCAAGGAGTGGTACTACGGCAAAGTGACCCGCCACCAGGCAGAGGTGGCTCTCAACCAGAGAGGCACGGAGGGAGACTTCCTCATCAGAGACAGTGAATCCTCGGTGAGTGGCTCCATCTCAGCTACCTTGAGTTATGAGTTTTGATAAACAGTAGCCAGGTTCTCAGGTTGATCCCTGGGTGGTTAGCTGAAGCTGTAATGTTTAATTTTGGATTTATGTGTATCAGGTTAAAAATGTTCGTATTTCTTGAATATATAGGAATGTCCTGATCTGTTCTAAAGGAAAGCGTCTTTCAAGGACTTTATTAAACTTGGATCGACGTCTGATCCTTTCCTAAAGATATTTTATTCCATAATGCTCTGTTTATGCCAAAGTTGTAGAGGTGACATCAATGGATATTATATACAACTAATAACAGTCAGCCAAGATGTTGGTAAAGGCAAAACTGGGCTAAAGCAGGGAGGGAAATTTTGAGTACCTGGCTAAAGTGTTTATAAGTAAGAGTAACGGTGTTCAAAGCTAAGACAAAAGAACATGTTGCACATGTCAGCCAAACGTGAAATAAGAAAGCAGAATATTTAAGACTATCAGATATTGATTTCTAAAAAGTTGTTCAAAAGTCATATCATAATCTCAGTTTTGCTTGTTTACTCCTTATACAATGATGCATTTTACTGTTAGTAAAAAAGTCTTTTTTTTTTTTTCTTTAAAAACCTACTAAGCTTTAAAATGAGCTCTATTTTATTGAAGCACTTCACTTAAGATGAGCATCTAAAAGTAGTCTATCGGACTCCCCCACAGTAGGGCTGAACAGTATGACAGTATATATCGTTATCATTATGAATTGTCACAATGCAATACAATATGCTAATCTGAACATTTCATGTATATTATCAGTACTTGTAGAACACTGACCAGCTGCAGGTTTCATGATAAAGAGAGCAAAAATAGTCCCATTTAACTAGATTTAGTGCAACACAGTATGCCAAATCACTGTATTCACAGTTTGTGATAGTATATATTTTTTTAAATATAGCACCTGGTTCTTTTTGCTCAGTTCCAACTGAAGAAATGTCTGAAAAAATAAATATAGTGACTTATTGTGTATCGTGAACATATCAGAATATTATATTTTTGCCATATCGCCCACCTCTACCCCACAGGAAGAAATACACTGCTAAGAACACATCACAGTGTGTGAATGAGTGCTATGTCAGGATAGATTTGTTACAGGATTATTCATTCCAGCATTTGCTGCTGATATCGGCCCGATACTGATATACCATTTCTAGTATCAGTTTTTAAAACTATATACATATTAAAAATGAAGTGAGTTAACTGTGATGTTTTAAAGTAATTGGCAGGCTAGTATAACTTACTCAAGTGACATTGAGTTTGTCCTGAACCCACCATGTCTTTGTCTCCATGCAGCCCAACGACTTCTCCATATCGCTGAAGGCCCAGACCAAAAACAAGCATTTCAAAGTGCAGTTGAAGGACAACCTGTACTGCATCGGACAGCGCAAGTTCGGCTCCATGGAGGAGCTGGTGGAACACTACAAAAAGGCGCCCATCTTCACCAGTGAGCAGGGCGACAAACTTTACCTGATCAAGGCCCTGCCCGCCTCCTGATCCGGACTGTGGCCCGGACCGGAAATCTAGAACCACATGGCAGGACTGAGAGACTTGGAAAACAAAGCATTCCGACAGCAGAGAGAGAGAGAGAAGGGGAGAAATGGTCTTTGGACTCCCATATTCATGCTCTGAGATGGTTTCATGGGCAGACACTTCCATATATCAAAATACAGTTATGTATAGGGCATAGGTGATGTATTTTGATGTCAACATGTATTAGAATTACACCTAGGTGTTCTTTTGTTGGTATATATCCTTTTTTTTAACAGTTTCTTTTAGTAATTGTGTCTTTTGATTTCCGACTACCGAGCAGCCATTTGGAACTTGATCATGTTGCTGAATTCCAGAAAACTGAGAACTTGCGTTGCATTTTTCCCAAAGTGTTGCGTATTGCCTGTGTTTTAATCACGACGCTTGAATAACACGACGCAGTGAGATTATTTAACTTGATATATTTATAGGGATCCAACGTTTCTGCTAAAAAATAAAAAAAAAAAGGGGGTGACCAAAGCCTGTTGCTCAGAGTGAAGGCTGGCTGTATCAATCAGGCTTAAGGCTGAATGTTTACAGATCATGTCAGCTGTTTTGCTGTTGCCGAGCAGCTTAGCAGGATGTAGTGGCTGCATGCTTCCTGCTCACATCATGTTGTACTGAGGACACTTTATGTTCAAAGTGTTGGTTCCTCGTACAGTGATTGCTTGTTTCCTTATCAGAGTAGCCTGGTGGAAGCATTAGGATTGGCACCCAGGTCACCGACTGATCGTAACTGAATCCCAAACCGCTTATTTTCTTATTTTGAACAGTGAGGCCGATTCAGTGATGGCGACATGTTCCTGCTTACTATAACACTGTTGCTGAACTTGTCTAGAGCGTTGTTGAGCTACCTGAGTGGATTCAAAGGTCCTTTTCACAGTGATCTGCCAGGGAATATGAAAATGAGAATTCTTTTGCCCTTATCCAGAAGGTCTGTCTGTGTCTGAGTTGGTGAAACAGGTGTTTGTTTGTATTGTAACTGTTATCAGTGGTGGCGTATTGCTTCAAAGCTTCACCAGGTGTTTCGTACAAGTCACTGCATTGTGCTTGTGTGCTTTTTTTTTCCCCCCGCCAAAAGGCTGCGCGCTAAACAGGGTCAGAACTGGGTTTCTGTGGTGTCTTTTGGAAGCTGATGTGGTGGAGCAGTTGCAAGAGTCAGTGTTCAGAATCGTATTGGAAACGTGGTCAAAAGGAAGGAACCCAGGTGGGCTGGCTGATTGCGATACGTGGCAGTGGCACAGGTTCCTGTTGTTTTTTTGTTTTGTTTTTCTTTTCAGTGGGTCGATAAACTGCTCGAGGATGTTAAGATGTTCCAGCGAGGAGCTGACGCCAATATGTAAAACCTCAGCAGATAAGAGGATGTTTGTGAAGGGGAAGGTGGACCGAGTGGACTAAGCTTACAGCCTGGGGAAGATCACCCCTTGCAGATTACTTCCCCAGCTGTGGGGAGTTGGACTGGGACGAGAGTGAGGAATGGGGATTTTCAGGGAGCGTATGGAAAATGTGCTCACACGCACACATAGAGATGCAGCATTGTGAGTCAAGGGTGACTATGAGGTTTACAGTGAAATTCAATCTGGAATATCTATCAAAAAAAGGGGACATGAGGCTCTAAGAGGGGGGAAGAAGCAGATAGTGTACAAGTGAATAGTGTGGATTATATGGTAGCCATAGCTTTTGACTTTGTGTTCTGGCCAGACAGTCTGTTCTTTAAAAAGAAAAAAAAACAGAAAAAAAAGTAAAGAAAAGTGCCTTTGTTGCTGCTGCTCCTACCAAAGGTTTAGCGTAGTAGTGTCTAACCTCTCTCCTGGCTAACCACACCTCTTTTGTTATTTGAGTACTGCTTTGCATGTGCGTAATCTGTCTCTGATGTGATTTTTTTTTTTTTTGCTCTTCAGAGGGACGATGTCCAGCTCCTGCCCGCTTCCCTATGGAAATTGATCTTACTGTTAAGCCCGTTGTTGATTTACGTTGATTCACAGTGTCGATATGTATCTGAAAATTTGACTCAGTTGTTCATTTGTATAGCCTAGTATGAAGTGACCTTACTATACAGCTGTATCACTCATCACGGTTAGCTGTTATTCTGTGGTGGATTTGCCTGTATTTAGGACAGTCTGACTGTAAAGTTCGTAGTTTAGGCCACCCAAGGTTTCATTTCTTAAAAGGGGATTGTTAGTCCTGTACTCTAGGTCATATTTTTATAGTTTTGAATGAGCTGCTTTGCTGTTTATTGCGTTTATTGGGACCTTATCAACTTAGTTCTTAAAGGGGAATTCCACTGATTGATAATATATATATATACATTTACACACAATGTGTCTAATAGGGTAACAGGCATTTTCACATTATGTCAAACTGAAAAACAACAAAAATGGAAATACGAGGTTTTTTATATACGATTTCTTTAACAGTGGTGATAGGAACCAGGCATTGCAATGCGTCTTCAACGCAAATGCAACCATTTCATATACTATTCTACACGTGTCTTCTGTGTTTTATATGTAATGTTGATGGTAAAATACTGGTAGATCTCAAAAATAGCGTTTTCCTTAGAGGCTATTTTGCCTTACAGTGCTGTGCATGTATCGTTCCAGCATGAATACATTTTAAAAAATACGTTTTAGCCTGAAACCTTCTCAGAACTGTCGTTTTGGGCATCAGGCAGCATATTCATAACCATTTCATTGAAGTACTTTGTGAGGGTGAGTGTGGTTCCTGTCACCACTACTGTGAACAGTTCTTATGTTTCTCTGGAACAGAGTATTTTACATCAAACCAATCTGAATGACTTGGTTTACATCTTAAGGATTCAGTTATGCAGAAATTTTGAAAAGCTGATGGAATTCCCCTTTAAATAATCTTTGGGAACAGGAGTGAGAGGATATTTAACAGTGTAGTCGTTTGCAAGGTTTTATTTCTGAATAGTCTTTAATATGTACACTTTTACTTTCCCTGCGTCTCTAAAATGTCCACATGTACATCCAGCAGAGCCGTGCAGGGTGACGCCATGACTGTGTTGCTGTGTGAATAAGGACATTGCAGTCTTTTATCTCTTGTTTAAGGATGTTCATTAAATGCAGTTGGCTGGTGTTCACAATTTGATCTCCACTTTAAAATTGGCTCGTTTCCCTGTTTGTCTCACAGCAGCTGGAATGGTGAGTGTTTGTGTCGGTCACTCTTTAGCCTGCCTCCACCAATCCAGTACTGTTTCCTGACATACCATGTCCTGTAAAGGGAAATTTCACCATTTTTTTTAAAACATAGTTCAGTCATTGTCATGTAAACAAACCCATTCAGTGTGGTTTGATGTGAAATGGTTCATTGTAGAGAAACGCATCTGCTCGGATTAACAGTGGTGTGATGGGAACCAGGGGTCATGATGTCTGCAATGCAAAATATAGCTGGAGATACAAGGTTTTCTTCCAACAGCAGTGATATGTAATGTAATAATATGTAATAATAATGGTAAATATAATGTGTAATAATAATGGTAAATAGTGGTAAATCTGAAAAAGTATGTTTTCTATTTTTCCTCACAGTGCCCTGCACCGTACTTATTTTGTGGAATACCTTTGCGTGGTGAGAACATTTTATATGTGATGTTCAGACGTCTGGTTCGTATCACCACCACTGTGAACAATTCTGACTCTGTATGTTTCTCTAGAACAGACCATTTCACACCAAACCACTCTGAATGACTTTTACATCTTGACGACTGCAATTTTGAAAAATTGGTGGAATTCCCCTTTACATTTCCTACTTTAATAGCGCTGATCTAGGATCAGTTTTTCCAGTCTAACTATTGCCCTTGCATGTAACTGATCTTGGAACAGCGCTCATATTTTAAGCCCTTGATAGACTTGTTGACCAAGTGCTCTCCTCACTATTAATCGAGCCACTAGCTGCTCCAGAAAGATCCTCTTTAATGATTTAGATGCTGATGACTGCAGCATGCTCAGATATTAAAGACCCACTTTGATCCTATAATTTCTAACCTGGAGCATTTTAGAGAGATTAATTAAGTACTGACCCTGAACCTGTGCTGAGGGGCCAGCGTGTTCGCGCTCTGTCAGACAGAGGAGATGTGGAGGAAATATGGGCCAGACAATGCTGTGAAACTGACTGTACTTATATGCTCACTATCTACATGGAACTAAAACTCGTCTTCGTATCTAATAGAAGTTTATTAGACTGTTCAAAGGAAGTAATAAAGTACATAAACCAACACTCCTTTCTCTCGTGTCGTATGTAGAGAAAATGCACGGCTGTGGATTAGCGAAATTAAGGTTGGGTAAGTGCCTTAAAGTGAATTGGTGTCAGAATGTTCTGAGTGCACTGAAATCATGATATTAGACAAACGAGATTATCTGTTGTGTGATTATCTTTGAAAATGATGCCTGAAGAGTAAATAAAAGACAGGCTTGCATTTCTTTACCAAACAATTCCACAGTTTGTAAATAAATGTAAATATATCTTCATACTTTATAGTTTTCGAGCTACTTTTACTGTGGAAAAGTTCAAATCTTTGAAAGGGGAGAATTTCCATTATTTCCAAACTGAAAAACTATTAGGAGAGTTGCTCAGCTGCTCCATCCGGTGGCTAATTTAAAAATTACTTTTATAAAAACAATTTTTGCAGATTTCCCCACCAGAACATGGAAAAACAGGATTTATTTCAGTGTAATGTGCTAAACATGATGTTTGCTCTCTGCTATTTTCTTCTCCTTTAACGTCCCATTTAATATATTTTTAGTCCTTTTATAATGAAAAACAGGGTATTTTCAAAAGTTCTTAAAGGGGAATTCCACCAATATTTTTAAATTTCTGTAATCAAATGGTTAATATGTCAAGACAAGTCATTCAGAGTGGTTTGATGCGAAACGCTTCATTCTAGAGAAACTTGGTGAGCCAGAATTGTTCACAGTGGTTGGTGACAGGAAGCAGACTTTAATGCCTGAAGAGTTTAATGGCTCTAAAAGCTAGATGAAAGTGCAGTTACCATACCATTTTACCTTCATTGGCATTAAAGTGCAGTTACCATACCATTTTACCTTCATTGGCATTAAATTTAAAACTCAGAAGACTCGTGTAGGTTCACTGGTGGTTTTGGATAGTAGATAAAATAGCTAAATTTGTGTTAAAGATGTCCTGACCCCTGGTTCCTATCACCACCACTGTAAAGAAATCAGGGTTGGTCACTTCTCTACAGTGGACCATTTCACATTAAACCACTCTGAATGACTTTGCTTACATCTCAACAACTGAATTATGCAAAAATGTAAAAAAAAATGGTGAAATTCCCCTTCAGTGTTTGAACTAACTGATTGCTTTAGAGTCAGCTTTCCTCTGTAGATAGACTTGTTTATTAGCACTTTTAATCTGTTATAGACCTTAACAGGCTCTGTTTCATTGTTCTGTCAGGTCAATTATTTTGCGGTAGTATTTCAGAGAACGTATTATTGACATTAGAGTTTAGCGAAGGTGCCCAAACCTGTTCTAGATGATCTTTGTAAACTACAGCCTGTTGATTTAGGTTATGCAATAAGCTTAACTTGCTTAAAAACACTGACTCTTGTGTAGTGAGAGTACTTCCATGACTCTATTAAGGCTGTTTAGACTCTCACAAGAAACAATAGTTGACCAGATTTATGCTGATATGGACCATTTTTGTGCACTATTTCGCAGATCTTCCTCCTCCTTATGAGGGTATATAAACTAAATGGTGTCACTTCTGCTGAAAGCTTTTTGTCTGCATAAAACACTGCAACCCAAAGTAGTAATCAGGGGGCCCTGTTACTCATTAGCTGTTGTGCTGTTGCCCACACATATTGTTTTGAGCAGGGCTCGGCCTTATTGTCTCACTGTTCCCAGACCATAACCACATTCATGCAGTCTTCGTTTTAAAGGGAGGTTCCAGTGAATTTTCAAAATGTCTGGATAAATAAACAGTGAAGATGTAAACAGTCGTTCAGAGTAGTCTGAGGTGAAAGGCTTTGTTCTAGAGAAGCTTGGTCAGAATCGTTCATAGTGGGGGTGATAGGAACCAGATGTCTGAAGAGTTTAATGCTTCTAAAAGCTACATCACAGAATGCTATTATACAAAATGGTTAGAAATGATAGTTTTGAGAAGGATTTGGCCTAAAATGTGTTTGGTTTTAAGCCATTCATGGCAGAGAGTCACATGTAGGACGTTGTTGGGCAAAACAGTTACCAAAACATCACATATAAAACTCATAGGGCACGTGTAGGTTCATTGCTCATGGATAGTAAATGAAATGGCTATTTCTGTGTTGTCCCCTGGTTCAGTAGGTTTCTTTATAATCATCCATTTCACATCAAATGACTCTGAATGACTCTTTACATCTCAATGACTGAATTTTGCAAAATCTTTCAAAATATTGGTGGATTTCCCCTTTTACATCTGCATTTTTTTTTTTTTACTTTAACCCCCAACACTTCCCATTTTCACTGAAGAAAATATGATGACCTGCATGGGTTTATTTGTAAAATTATACTTGCTTTTTCCATTACTGGCAACATTACACCAACAATATGTTCAATATTTGTTCAAAAGTGTCATTTCCTACCTGTAATATAATACATGGGCATCATATGACCTGTGCTACATATGAGCCTGTGATGGGAAAGTCTGCCACCTACAGGGATATATTACAACATGACTGCAAGTAAATAAAAGACAGGCTTGCATTTCTTTACCAAACAATTCCACAGTTCGTAAATAAATGTAAATATATCTTCATACTTCATAATTTCTAACTACTTTTACTGTGGAAAAGTTCAAATCTTTGAAAGGGGAGAATTTCCATTATTTCCAAACTGAAAAACAATTGGGAGGGTTGCTCAGCTGCTCCATCTGGTGGCTAATTTAAAAATTACTTTTATAAAAACAATTTTTGCAGATTTTCCCACCAGAACGTGAAAAACAGGATTTATTTCAGTGTAGTGGTGCTAAACAAAGCTGTTTGTTATCCAAATGAAAACGTGAATGATCGCCGTGTGATGCGTGCATTCCAATACTGGAGGATGAGAAATTTATGGAACTATGCAATGTGTTCTTTGTTTAGCAGCCTATTAGCTGCTGCCTAATGTCAGGCAGTCTTTTGTGTCTGCTGAAGGAGCTCTGACAGAACCACAGGCATCCTCTTTTATTCTGTGGCAGTTTGCTGAAAAGGATCCAGCCGAGGCATCTGCTCTGGAAGAGACCCCAGCCAGAGCCTGCAGAGCACTGCGCAAACACTCTCTCCTCTGAGCTGAGCTGTACAGTATTTATGCCTTTAAACTAAAACACATTGGAATGTTTAGTTCAGAGAAACTGTACACAGTTATTTCAGATGATCAGCCAATCAGCCAAGACACGTCTGGTGTCTGAAATTTGGTGTATTGCATACCAAAAAATAGTAGCAGCCATCCTGAATAGGGATGCACTCAAACGTGCAATCAGGAAATTTATTATTTTAATTTTGGTCGATCTGTGTTGTAATTTTATCATGTAATGTGCACTTGGGCTGTTTTTTTGCGTGCTGATTTTACATCTATGCCAAATGCTGTAGCATAATTTTGCAGGACTCACTGTGCTAAATAGCCAGTGACCTCTAACTTGTGATAGAGCACTTTACTCCTGTTAAACTGTCCCAAAAGCATCTTAGCATAAATATGATTCTTAAACAGTAAAGTGAGTTCATCACACTGAACACTCTCTCTACCAGTTAAGATCAAAGTATGAAATACAGGGGTCCTGGGGGGTCCAGGATCCTCTAATTAACCTCTTGGACCCCTTAAATGTCTCAATCAAAATTCTGGATGGTCCCTGAAAATAAACTTATGACATTATACTGGCTGGTAGGAGAAAAATAGACGCTCAAATACAAACGAAACAAAGTCATTGTTGAGCTGCTTCACCTACAACTGGTGCAGCTTCTGTTTTTCGTATTCTTAACTAACTAGAGATGCAGCACTGGTCTGCCTCAGGGTGGCGCTGTAGCAAACCAGCTCACCCAGTTGGTCCTTTATAGCCTAGTAACTGAAACTCTGCCCAGATACCTCTGAAAAATTTTACAATATGCCGTAGAATACTCATAAATGTAAAAAAACTGCCCAATTCACCAAGAGATTGATGGAAAGAGTGAATTGTTTCTCATCTCTTTAACTGAAAATAAGGAGATGTGTAAGATCTCAGTTAATGTGTAGAAGACCAAAGCAGAAAAGAGCATTTCCACAAAAAGAATCGTTGAACCAAACATTTCTATCAGTGCTGCTATGGTGAGTGAGTTAGCAGCCAGCCAGCACTGGACAAGCCAGCCAATATGGGACCCCCGAATACCAGGGGGTATTTCGCACACTGGTTAAGATGATCTTAACACTAAGATGCTTCTGAGAAACTAGCCCCTGATTTTTCCTTTAAGAGTTATAATGCCAGTTTGGCCAATTTACCAAGAAAATAATGTTATTTCTGTTGCAACTTTGGCAAACAGCAGAGTGAAAAAGACTGGATAATAAAGAATTGGCCAGTTTGGCTGCATAGAAATTGGAATCTGCCACACAGTTTCATGATCAGTGCACCTCTAATCCTGCAGCCCTGCATTTATTCATACGTTTGTCCATTTTTAAGGACAACAGCAACAGAAACCACATACATTTGAGATTACTGAACAGCAAGCTGCGGTGCAAAAGCTAAAGAAGCGAACGTCGGACACTAAACATGTCTTGGCTGAAAATCAGATTTGTCCGGTCAAACATCTTTAACCCATGGGTCAATAATTTTATCCGCAAAAGGCCAGTGTGGTTGCAGTTTTTCATTCCAACCAAGTTAAGAGCTCACCTTGAATAACTAATGAGTTATTTAAAGGCAGAACGACCTATCAAATAAGTAGAATCACGTGATCCTGCATGACTGGAACGAAAACCTGCAGCCAAAATCAGCCCTTTGTGAAAAAGTTTGACACCTGCTTTAACTTTTCAGGTGTTTGAATCTTGAGAGTAGTGAGTATGTACTGTATACATGTAGTGATCTGGAACATAGCTTAAGTGCTTGGAATGACCAGTATTGTAGATGTGATTAGTGGGTAGGCCAACAGTGACCGCAATTACTTCAACTGATTACCAAAAACTGTCCATTTTCCAACACAGTGTCCACACTCTCCACTGGGCATGGTCATTAACACTTCGGTCATGTCAAACAAGGGGCAACAGAAACGTCTGTGATCGGTCAGCATGGTTACGGAGCACTTCAGACATCTCAGTGGTTTGTTAGTGTCCATCCGTGTGGTAACATTGTTTACAGGAACTAGGGGTCGCTTAATTTCGATGCAGCTAACACACGATGGCTATGTGTAATACAGCAGTCGGCAGCGTTTGGAACGTGATTTGCTAAGCACAGAAGCCGTTATTGCGAGAACGATTCGTATACGATTATAAGTAATTCCCAATTAGTGGAGAGGGAAGCGGAGAGGCACATCAGAAGTAGAGCCGGTCAGAAATGGCTGCTGGGAGGTGGGTCATGACCTGCATGCGAATCCACCAGTGAGGCTCCATTGGGTTGTAGCGCGTGTACGGCCGCTTAGACGTGATGGCGTCTGCGATGTCGTCCAAAACCGGCGTTACGTCTCGCTGGCCGCTGTTGCAGTAGGAGCGCATCAGTGCCATGTACTGCTCAAAATGGGCCTTGCCGTAGTCCTCCTGCACATCAGAGGGCGCCTCCTTCCACAGCTTCTCCGCTGTGGTGGCCACAATGTCCCGGGTCAGGATTCCTGTGGCCACTATGAAGTTCCCCGGCTCTATGACCGACACTTTCACGCCCCAGGACTTCATCTCGTACCTGAGGCAGTCAGAGAAGGCCTCCACTCCGTACTTCGAGATGCAGTAAGGAGAACGCAAGGCATTTCCCATCTGGCCATACATGCTGGCTATGTTCACCACACGGCCTGGAAAACAGAGGACAAGATCAGCGTCGTGATTCGGCTCAGTGTGTAAACGAACACGCTGCCCGTCAAATGTTTTGGGACACAAAGCTGTTCAAAATGGTTAGAAATACACAGTTGCATACGAACACTTGAGGTCAAATTACAGATTTTGCTGAAGTGAAAATACATGAACACATTATTTTCAGAGAACACATTTAAATAGGGCATTTTTCTGCACATTCCAGGACACAATTCCTATTTACTTGCTGATTTTTTTTTTTTATTTGAAAAAAAATTAAACAAACTATATAATGTGCCAAAAATTTTGCAAAGGCCACATTCTCTGTTTTATTTTTTTTTTCCAAAATGTTAAAATCAGCCAATAAACAGTAACTGTGCATTAAAATGGGCAGAATTGTGTTCCCTGTTAATGCATTAACTTATTTTGACATAGAAAATCACCAAAACGTGTAATTTGATGCCTGAACTTCTACAAATGACTGTAAATCAAATTATGTAAACTGCAAAAACAACATTTTGAATTCACCATTTTTGTGATTTCACAAAACCTGGCATATTTAAACAACTTTTTTAGACAGTTTAGACTCATTCATTCACATTTACGCTATAAGAAGGATTCTAGCCTGGACGACTTTTTGAACAAGGCACAATATAAGGCAGCCAGTCAGAGCGCAGGTCATTTACATATAAGTCTCAAAGACACAGTGATGAAACTGGCTGTTTCATACTGAGGGATAAAGATAGGTTGGAAATGGTCCTGTTAAAATTAACTATGACTGTTTTTGGTACATAAACCCACACAAATGTTATAAAAGGACCACAGAGAAATAAAATAAATGTGGGAAAACAGTAAATGATACAGGTCCTTTAAAGACAGGTTTCGGGTGTTTAAACCAGCTTTGGGCCCAAATATGTGCTTTTAAATATGTGCTTTTAACAGTAGTTTCCAAAAGGAAGCTGTCAATTCATTATTTAGACAAAACCTGCTCTTTATACCAAAGAAAACACCTTGACAAACTTGAAGCTGAGAGTTTCAAAATACAAATGGGTGACAAATTAAATGAAAAACCACCATAAAGTGTCTTTGTAAGGTGTTGGGCCACAACGAACTGCCAAAACATCATCTAAGTTTCTTGGTCTATATTCTTCTATTAGTAAGTTAAGAGAACATTTATCTGCGTTTTATATTCTGTTAACTTATTATTTGAAGCTCAATTAACTCAAAACTTTAAGGCAACCAGGTTACTTAATGTTATAAGTTAAAACTTGTTCAGTAACGTCTGCAACTGCACTGAGTGAAACACTGTTCTTCCAAAATGTTTGGTGTTTTGATGAGAGCACTGTCTAACATGGTCCAAAAATCTCCCACAGGTGTTGACCTGAGTTGTGATTTGGTGACTGTGAAGGCTGTATCATCATTTACATACACATCGAACCATTCAGTCACCCCTGTCAGTGGGGATACTGTATCCTGGAAGAGACCACTCCTACTAGAACAGAAATGTTGCATCACAGGATGAAGGTGATCAATCAAAATAACTTTATTTGCAGTGACCCTTCCCTCTCAGGGGACAAGATGAGCCAAACCATACAGCATGCCAGCAAAATGCCCCCAGCAGCATAACAGGGCAACTGGACCCCCTCATGGTAGGGGTCAAGCATTCAGGCCTGTAGGGATTTCTCTGTGTACGCTGCACATGTGCTCACCCCCATGTGGCACTCACTCACAATGTGGTGAAGGATGAGTCATCTGACCATATCACTTTACTCACTGTTCCTAGCCAGATGGGCAGCCTTTGTGACTGAAGCTCCTGCCATCCGTGCCCCAATAACGAACCTTCTTCAATAGTTGGATTTCTTCCCCCTTCCATCCAGATCCAAAATTAGGGTCAGCTGGTCCTGCTTAGCATTTCTATACATGCCTCAGGGCTAGATTGCATCATGCAGCACATATCGGGAAGCATCTGCATCTGTATCTGTTATGTTTTTCCAATTCGTTGCCTGTCTGTATATCTAAAGTATTACTCTACAGCTGTTTTAAGTTAGAACCTTTACTCGTATTTTTCTTGCTTAATTGAGAAGTGACTGCAAAGTGTCCTCAGACCTTTGACAGGCAGTTCAGTAAAGTGATCCAGACATGCATCGTCAAATATTCAAGCTCACATAAGGAAAACACGCATTCTAAGAAAATGGTTGAAGCTGGACTGTAATTAGGTTAGTATGCACATCTAAGTAAGACCTTAAACTCAAAGTCCATTTAAGATGTGAGTCATAAAGCTCTGTCTGAAATTTCTTCTGTTACAAAGTAAAAGATTGACAGGGGCCCCAAGTGGGCCGCCGTTCTACCAGATTAAGGCCAGTTACAACCTCCGTAAGATTAGGAAGGAGACCCCATACTAACAAGCTTCTTAGAACTTAGAAACATCCTCGAAATTTCTTAGAAGTACCTTTTCTGACATTCAGATTTCTGGCTAACTCAGATATTACTTTTACTCTTAGCAGGCACAGTTATTATTGGAGTTAATATGTATATATTATATATATAAATATATATATATATATATATATAGAGAGAGAGAGAGAGAGAGAGAGAGAGATAGATAGATAGATAGATATAAATATAAATGTTGAAATTATATATCATAATAAATTATATAGTTACATAATGTATTACATACAGAACAATTTAACTTGATCTAACCTATCACTCTTACAACCGATGGTTCTTCAAGAGTTCTTTAGTAAAGAAATGAACACTTAAAGAACCCTTTGCATGATTAAAGGGTTCTGTGCATCGTGAAATGGTTCTTCAGGTTGATGGAGAATGTGCCGCAGATGGTTCTATATAGAACCCTTTTTTATTTAGTATCAAAATGGGTTCTTCTATTATTACAGGCTTGACATCATAACAATAGAAGAACCCATTTTGGTGCTATATAGTACCATTTTTAACTAATGTTCTATATAGAACCATATAAAACACATTCTCCATCAATCTGAAGAACCATTTAATGATGCACAGAACCCTTTAATCATGCAAAGGGTTCTTTGACTGTTCATGGTTCTATATAGAAGCATTTTCTTTACTAAAGAGCTCTTGAAGAATCATCTTTTTAAGTGTGTACATCAAATAAGCTATCTTCACTTACACTGATTTCTCTGCTTGTTGCTACAAGTACAAATAATATAAAATTACAATATGCTTTTGTTACTGCTGGCAGTAACTGAGACTTGTAGAATTAAAGGGGAAATTCTGCCGAGTTTTCAAAATTTCTGCATAACTAAATCATTAATTAAATAAAGTCATTCAGAGTTTGATGTGAGCAGGGGTGCCCAATCTTATCCACAAAGGGCCGGTGTGACTGCAGATTTTGATCCCAAACAAGCTGAAGCATATCTGATTCCACTTGCTTAATCATTTGCTCTTCAAAGTATCGAGCAGGTCTGTTCCTGCTTTGTTGGAATGAAAACCTGCAGCCACACTGGCCCTTTGTGGATAAGACTGGACACCCCTGCTCTAGAAAAACTACTTCACCATTATTACCTTACATATAAAAACTCAGAAGACGTGGTTTTGTAAAGTAAATAAAATGTCTATATTTTGATTGTAAATATGGAACAACTGGTTCCTATCAACACCACAGTAAACAGATCAGTAAGAATCTCTACAGTGAATCTTTTCACATCAGAATTCTCTGAATGACTCTGTTTACATCAACAATTTATTTCTGCAGAAATTTTGAAAAACTGATGGAATTCCCCTTAAGGTTTGCTCCTAGCATTCTTCTTTCCTCTGCCGCTCACCTTTAGCTCTGCGGATGAGCGGGAGAAGAGCTTTGGTCACTCTGATCGTTCCCCACAGGTTGACCTCTGATACCTGCTTGTACGTGTCCATTGTAGTGAATTCCACCTCACCAAATGTAGAGACCCCTGCATTATTCACCACCGCCCACAGACCTGGCCAACACACCAAACAAGACCGGAGGTCAGTCAAATCACACTGCTGATAGCACAGACTGCTGCACCTGTATTATTACGGTAAAACTGCCCACAGTGTCCAACTGAATGTCAAATCACGCAACACTGACAGTCAAATTCAAAGCTACTAACAGTGACTGACATATAGATTAATTTAATACTATAAACACAGTGAGTGCGTACAAGAATTCATCCACTTACTTATTTCATATACTTCCAGTGAATAAATCCACTTCAAATTTACACATATAATGCCTTTTGACTTAGCTGTACTTCTAAATATGAACAAAAAATATGAATTCATAAGCATAAACAAAGACACTTTAAAAAACTGTTAGGGACCCCCAGATGGTCCACATTTTTGCTCCAACCCAATTCACAACACATACAGAAAATTGTGGACCGGCTGGGGGTCCCTGAGCACCGGTCTGAGAACCACGGAGGAAAAATATATTCAAATGCTACAAATTAATAACTAATTAGTACTTTGTTGCAAAACCGCTGTTGGCTAATCCAGCTTTGAGACGTGCTAAGATGTGATTAGCTTTTTGCAGCACTGTGGCTCAGTTTTCCTCCATTCCTCCAGGAAACCCATCTTCAGCTTCCCAAGGTTACAAAGGTCCTTCTGATGGACTCGCAATTTCAAAATCCTCCATAAATCTTCAGTAGAATTTATATCAGTAGATTGTCTAGGCCATGGATGCACCTTCACCAGTTTTTAGAAACCAGTCTTGACTTATTTTGGGTATATGTTTGGGGTTGTTGTCCATCTTGTACCTTTTCTTGGCCAAAAACGCTCCCGGTATATCACTCCATTCACATTTCCTTTGATGACGTCTACTGCTCCAGTGCCGTTTGTAGAGAAGCAGCCCCAAATCATGATGCTCCCACCTCCGTACTTCACTGTGTGTATGGTGTTCTTGGGATTATTCACACAACCCTTCTTTCTCCCAACATGATGAGATGAATTACTGCCAAAGAGCTCAGCAGAGTTTATTTCAAACTGTTCAAAGACCGATTGGATTTGTCTAGACGTTTGTACTAATTTTAGACACACATCTTTGTGCTTCTTTTTTGGTTTTATGTAGAGTGGAATGGAGATGATGACGATGTAGTTCAGTGCTTGTTGTTCTCTGTGTAACTGTCCCATTCATTCTTCGTAAGATCTTTGTGGACCATGGCTTTTGGAGTAGGATGCAACCAAGGAGTCAGGAAAATCCTCAGGAACAGCTGAACCTTATTTTAGGTTATTCTGGGTCACTTTAATTGATGGCAGGGGTACAATGTCTACTGTTTAACATGAGTTTGTGGTTGGTTGATTCTGAACACAGCCACAGCCCCGATCATACGTGCACACACATGCAGCCAAATTAAGTTTTTTATTTTTTTATTTTTTCACTTTAGGTTATAGGTTGTATTTTGTGCATTAAAGCTGACATGACTTATTTAGTTTTTTTCATTTTTAACCTCATAAAACTTGCCATTTTTACAGGGGTGTGTGTGGAGTTTTTATATCCACTGTAAGACAGTGAGGAACTGTAGAGTGCATCCACAGAAGGGTTTTTAGGTTTTAGGGGTTAACAACACAATGTGGTTTGAGGTGAGCGTGTGATGATTTAGGCATGCAGTTTTATGGTGGTTATAAGCTTTCGTCACTTCTCAGTTACATTAGCCCCGTAGCTCCACTGCAATACAAAGGCAGCAAGTTTCAGACACCAAATATTGTTCTCTAAACTTTTACTTCAATGTATAGTGGGCAAGATGTAATGAATAATGCCAGCCTTTATCAGATGGTCAGTGTGCTGGCCGTACTCACCTTTCTCTGAGTCATCCAGGTTGGCCTTGATGAACTCTACAGCCTTTGAAACCTCATCTTCATTGCAAACGTCCAGCTGAACCACTTTCATTCGGTCGGAGTGCATGTTCTCCAGCTCCACCGCGCCCTCGCCAGCCTTATCCTGTGGGCACAGAGCACCTGGAACACTCAAATATGGGCTTTCCTTTTACTTCTGTCTGACAAATAGAGCACAGCTCTAATCCTGAAAGCTGAACTCTGCAGTTCTAAGATCTTTCCTTGACCTGATTCAGCTCAACAGCTAACTAACTAAGCCCTTCATGAACTGAATCAAAGGTCTTACAGTAGGCAAAGAACTAAACCATGGGCTCTCCAGCACTCCAGACAGGACCTTTATCCCATTAAAGTCTGAAATTCTAAATATTCACATTGTTGCTGTAGGAACAAAATCCTGTACCTCATAAATGGTAACTTTCCAGCAAAAGGGAAAAATGCTTGGTATAGTTTAGTGGGTAACACCTCTGCCTCCTATGCTGTAGACTGGGGTTCAAGCAACCTACACTATACCAATAAGAGTCCTTGGGCACAGACTCCTAATACTAACTTCACCTACCTGTGTAAAATGATCACATTGTAAGTCGCTCTGGATAAGAGCGTCTGCCAAATGCCATAAATGTAAATACTTACAAGTTTTAATGTAAATTCTAAAAGATTTGTTTCCAAGTGATTCTGAACCATTTGCATTTGGCCATTTGTCTTTAAATATTCACACAACGTACAGAGCTGCTGGAGCTTTCAAATAGTGGGGAAAAAAAGAATAAAAAAAAACCTTTTTACCACAATAAGACAGAATCCAACATGTAGGCTAATAAAAAAAATATTAGATGTTTGTCCAACATTTATAAAACATTTTATCACTTTATATCTATTAATTACATTGCATTTGCTAGATTTACTTGCTGGGCACGATAAGTCACTTGAAACATTGGCACTATACTGAATGGCTGCCAATTTTAGTAACATACTGCAATTTGAAAACCAATCATAATGTTTCAAAATTTTGTAATAACCAGTCTTTAAAAAGTCATACTGTAAATAAACAGCCTATTGCTAGTCTCAAAGTGTGCACCAGGATAACATGTTTGCATAGTTATAATCTGAATGTTATAATCTGAACTGTAAACAGTAGTTGTGCTTGTAATTTCATATTTATATGAATTGTAGTTTGTTTCTTTGGTGTTAGAAAGAAATATGAGGGGTTCAGTAAGTTTGGGCACTCCTGGTCAAATTACACACTGACATGGCTTCTGCAGAAGTTTTGGCACATTTCATATTTTATCTGTTTCCACCAATATTTGTGGAGTTAAACCCAACAAATAAATAGAAACTGTGCAGCAAAATTTGAAGAAAAATATGAGAAAATTTAAGTTTATTCTCTGTGGACAATGCGTTGAATTATCTTCACTTAGAAAGATTCTGACATATTAAAACTTGTGCATAAGATTTTATATATATGTATATATATATATATATATATATATATATATATATATATATATATATATATATATAGATAGATAGATATATATATAGATATATATTAATGTATGTATATAAGTATATTTTAACATTGTGACAATACATAACCCTCTGGTCATTTTGGTCACTGATGTCATGATGGGATGTTTTCATACTGTCCCATCCCTACCTGAGACCATATTAACATGCAGTGCACTACATGCACTACTACTCCACGTAACACAAACTAGACCATTTGTTTCAATGCGTATCGCCCAGAAGGATCTGTAGTGAACGTCTGCTTGTGAAACCAATTTATGGCTTTATGTTAACATGTTAACCGTCTGTTAATGCTCAAGAACCCTTACTCAACAATTTTGCAAGTGTTCGTTAAATCCATTTCACAAATTAACCCCCCGCCCCCCACTTCCTCCCTAAACCCCAACCTGTGGGTGGAAGATATTAACCAACCAGAGACCACAGCTCTGTAGTCCACCTCCTGCTGAAGTTTACCACATTACCTTTAAGAGGCACCCAGCGAAGACAGTGAATCCGAGCTTGTGGAGGTGTTTGGCCAGAGAATGACCAAAGCCACTGTCACATCCAGTAACAAACACCGCCTTCCCCTCCACCTGCAAACGGAGAGACATTGCACAACGTTACGTCCAGAAAGCTTGCATAACACTCCTCTTAGCATGAAATGGGCCATCTTTTGGCAAGAAAAGCAAACAGCACAAAGTTCTTTAGCTAAACCAGAAGCTTAGCGCTGGTACTGGCATGATTCACTGCCTGTAAGTAAGCAGAGAAGGAGCTGTTTAAGCTTTTCCCACAGTCTGTGGTTTTAGGCATTAGAAAGACCCCGAATACCGCAAGAGCGTAGCAGCAGTAGCAGTGCATACTGTAATAGCAATATGGAACCGCATTTTACTGAGAATTAAAGGAAAATCATACGAGCGCTGATTTGTAGATTGAGTTCAGATAAAGAGCAACACTTATTGACACTGTGCTCTGTTGTCACTGGCTGATTTTCGTCAGCCAGTGACAACAAATGTTACCTTGATGTTTTTGTATGTGAGCTGAATATAAATGTTATGTGGGCTAGACGCTGCTGTATGTGGGGCTGATTATTATTTATTTTTGACAAGTTTTGCTCATTTTGGGTTTGGCAGTGTTTTTAAGACTGAATACTTCAAAAAATAAATAACTAAAACCTGAAGTGAACAATATTTCATGTCCGTGTTTAAGTCCACTTTGAGCAACACTGGAAATTCCTTCACTGTTTGTTAAGAAAATAAACAAAATGAACCCCTTAAAATCCCAGGCTTATTGCATACTGAGGCTTATTATTCAGTAACTACGAGCACTTCAATGTAAACTGGTTGAGCTGTTCTTAGAGTATAGAAACATGTAATAAAACATGGATGTTTTAAGGGGTTAACATGACTAATGTGCAATATCTCACTGAGTACGTTTACATGCACTCAATAATTCAATCATAATCAGATTTCTGCAGTTACCTGATTTGAAGAGAGCTGGATTTTAGCTCAGTAATCAGATTTCTCAGTGCATGTAAACTCTTACTCTGATTTCTTTCGGTTTTCTCAGTCTGAGCATGTGCGAAACAGACAGCGGTACCGGAAATAAGCGAGCAGCGTAAACCAAATACATTCTCAACGAAATGAAGGATTTAAATATTCTTCATCTTCTAGATGATTTATGTTCATATTTTCAGGTAAAGTGGCTCAATGTTTTTTAAAAAAAGCTTTATATCACGTTTACGTCACGTCTTCTTCTGTAGCAGAAATGTGATTACTGTCTGACTCCTGTAGACCTGGAGTTTCCCTTTATCTGATTACTCAAGTAATGTAAGAACACTCATTGTTTCTACATCATCACAATTCTGAGTGCAATTTGAAGACTCTTATATAAGATTTCTTTTTTTATTTCAAGCTAAACCGAGCCATGTTGCGAAAAACAGAAGTAGTCCTACACACATGGGAGAAGAACACAAGGACACACTGTCTAAATCATGGCCAAGGCAATTTCCCATGAGCTGAGTCACGAATAATGGAAAACAGGAGATGGGCTTGAAAACGTAAAAATTTCTTCACAAGTTTCAACGTGAGTTAACGTGAAGGCATTTTACTATCATTTTGGACCATCTGTATTGGCCCGGTAGGCATGAACAAAGACAAAAATGAAAGCTTTTTTTTCCTTCCTCTGTTATTTTTATGGAGTTACAAGGTTTCGTTCCAACAGAGACAATATAATCAAGGGCCGCTTGTTCTTTTAATGTTTGCATCAGCAACTGTTGCATGTTTTTGAGCCACGTTAGGCCTTGTGGTCTGTGGCCCCTGAGCTCTGACCCCAATGGCTCGGTCAGTAATCCATCTCTGATTCTAAAGAGCTAAGGCTGCTACCAAAACGCGGTTCATCTTCTCTCCTTTGATAAGGGGCTGTTGATAATGCGTTTAAACTGTGGACAGAGGGTCACATTTTATCATGCTGAATCCTTTATGATGGGACTGTATGTCTGTACTATATATATGGTACAAATAAACACATACACTAGTATGTTATAAGGAAAATACAGCCCATGATTTTCAGTCCAGTGGGTAATGCAGAGTAAGACCTTCATTGTGCAGTGTAACTCTGTTTCTCTGTGCATATGACAAGTATATGAGAATAAACTCTTAAACCTGAATCCTGAAAGGCAGCCGTAAGAGACGAGGGGGTTGGGACCCTCTTTAAGCAGATGCAACAGATGCAGCGTTCGATTTTGAAAGCAAACATTAACAGACTTCAGTGTGGAAATATCACTGAAGTTGCGGTCGAGTCTGATGTTGGCCAAGAATGTGCTGTACTGAATTCACTCTAATACAAGCTATACTACTGTCGGCTAGACTTCCAGAGATTATCAGCGGCTAAAGGGGAATTCCACTGATATTTCTAAATTTCAGAATAATTCATTTGTTGAGATGTGAACAAAGTCATTCAGTTTGTTGTGAAATGCTCAGTTCTGGAGAAACTTAGTGAGTCAGAACTGCTCACAGTGGTGGTGATAGAAACCAGACATCCACCTCTCAAAGCTCCCTCACAGAAAGTTATTACTTGAAGTGCTTACAGATATACTGCCTGATGTATGTGACACTGTTTTACAATTGTTCTGAGTTCTTGGGCTAAAACATATTTATTTAACCCCTTACCAAGCCATGGGCCCACTGTTATCACACACTTCTGTAAACTAAGAAGAGCTCCCTTAGTTTGCGTAGATGTCCCTGTAGTTAATTAATAATAAGCCTTAGTATGTAATAAGCCTGTAATGTTAAGGGGTAAAAGCTGTTCATGGCAGAGGGGTACATGCAGGGCATAATGAGGCAAAATAGTCCCCAGAGAAAACTGTTTTTTTAGATTTATCACTATTTTAACATCAACATTACATATAAAAACCCAGAAGACAGGTGTGGGTTCTCTGGGGGTTTTGGATGGTAAATAAAATGGCTTTATTTGTGTCGTAGATGTTGTGACCCCTAGCCCCCCTGGTTCCTATCACCACTGCAAAGAAATCTGAGTCTGTAAGGTTCTCTACAATGAACCATTTCACATCAAACCACTCAGAATGACTTTGTTTACATTTTGGCCACTGAACTGCACAGAAATTTTGAAAAATCGATGGAGTTCCCCTTTAAGCATGCACGAAGAGACTGTACGGGTTCTCTACGCAAATAAAACGAACACAACTTTAGATCTGACCTCTATCCTCCCCTAACAGCCTGGCCTGGACCACAGTCCGGCACAGAGAGGGCAGAAAGCACCCACCTTGACGGATCCCCGGGGCAGCCGAGGCAGGGCGATGTAGAGCACGAAGAGCGCGTAGAGCAGCACCACGCACTCGGTGGCGCTCGCCTCGGGCAGACCGCACAGCCGGGCCACCAGGTTGAGCGCAGACGGCAGACCGAAGCCCAGGATGAGCGTGAGAAAGACGGAGAAAGCGACGAGCAGAGCGGCTCGGACGAGCGGCAGCGAGGCCATCTTGGCGGACTCAGATTCGCTGAGCTGTGGCTTTAACCGCTGAAGGGGACGGGCTGTCTGAGAGAGGTCTGATTCACTTCACAGAACCGACTCCTCCGAACTGTCCGATTCCAGAAACCGAACCTCCGATTCAGTGATTCATTTTAGAAACACTTTAGAAACAGAGTTTTCAATAATTATGACGTAGTATTTTTAATAATGACTTAGAATCTCATAATAATGACGTACTTTCTTATAATTATGAGAAAGATGCCCTTTATTATGAGATATTAAGTCATAATTCAAAGACAGTACGTCATTATTCTGAGATGCTAAATCATAATTATGGAAAACTCGTTATTTCTCACTATTATGACTCACTACGTGGCTAAAATGATGTGTTAAATAACAACACTACAGAAGTCCAGCACGGAGCCCTGCTGGTGACACCCACTGTAAATAAAAGTAATGCATGGCCACGACTTTGTAAGGCATGGGAATGAGATACTAATGCATGGCCATGACTTACTAAGTCTTCGCCACAACGTAATTGTCTCGTTTCCACGCCTTACTAAGTAGTGGCCACGCATTAGGATCTAATTCCCATGCCTTACTAAGTCGTGGCCACACATTATTTTTATATTCTGTAGTCCAGAGAGGCCATGAGGTAATTATAATTTTCTGCATGGTTATCTTGAGATCATGGCTTAATCATCTTGCGATCTCAAGATAACAAAGTTAAACAATCAAACAGTTGTCCTGTCCTTGAATCATCACTCTTAAAATGCCTTTTAGTACAATATCGTCACTGTCTACAAAAAAGTTATCTCCATTTTATATATTATTATTTTATATTATGTTAAAATGTATATCATGCTGTGAGTTTACCGGGTTAAACTGTAAAAGCTGATTATCTGAATTTGGGTATAATTTGAAATCAGAAGTCGTCACAGACGTATAAACGCTGTAGAAACGCTACGAAACAGCGTGATTCAATTGGACGTGCGAATCGATTCGTTTAAAAGAGTCTGTTCAAATGAACGATTCTGTTGACGAGTTGCACGTCGCGGACTGTTGCTGCTGAGTTTCCATCACAGGGCGCTGGATCGACACGTTTCAGACTCCGCCTCTCGAGAAGGAATAACAGTGACCAAAACCCCACAGAGAGTAGAAGTGTGTGAATAGCTGTTTTGCGGTTAATATGCTGTTATTCTGCTGTGTTAGAGCAGATTAATCGCGCCTGAATGTAAGATTGTAGAAATCGCTGAGAAGTAAAAGCAGAGTAGGAGTGCCTGACTGACCGTGTGCGCTGGGGGGCGCTGTGGGACCTGAGTACACACGGGGACGTTTAATCAGTGCAGATGTGACACCGATAAGCGTACTTCCTGGTAATCAGCAGAGATTTTGTTGTCTGCGTTAGTGCTGCGCATCCACACCGCCCTCATTTAGTACTCCGTTCTCTCTGCTCTGTTGCTAGGATACGTCTTCCGGTGCACGTAACGCTACTACAGTCTGTTTACAAACCGAGCGGCCGAATTCCGACTCCCCGGCAGAATCCGACTCCCCCTCGCGTGCACGCGCTTCACGTAAACATGTGGACGTTACGGACTGCACTCAGGATTTCTTAGGTTATTTCTGTGTAAATAACGCTTCATCTTTAATTTACCTTCACAGCGAACAACACAACAAGATCTAAAGCCAAACAAAGACGCTCACCGCGACGGTTTAGTTTAATATTACGAAATAAAAACGATTGTTGTTGCTGCAGTACTTGAGAACTGGTGGGACTGAATGGCTTTCAGTCATGACGATAAGTGTTACGACACATTAAACACAGCTTTAAACCTCTGGAGCAATAAAGCTCACATCTGAGGACCTGACGCTGCAGTATTGGCCGACTTGTTTTACTTGTCATTATTCAGCAACCAGACTTTCATTGCTTGCATAGCTGGACAAATTAACGAATTAGTATCCATTACTGCATAAAAGAGTTGCCTATAATTAAAAATTGCAGTAAGAACAGTTGTTGTAATGGTAGTAATTTAAGATTAATTTTGGCTGAAAAGTCTTCAGCTTTTACATAGTCAGAAGGTGTTTTGTGAACCTGTCAAAATGATGCCCCTCATATCTCTGGGGATGCATTATGACTGGAATGATTAACTTGTTCTGCTGACTTCTGGTTCATAGATTACAGCATATAAAGCATATGTCTCTAAATTCAACAGGGGGGATTTTACTGGGGGAGTAGAATTTTGGCAGGATTATTTTGACAACTGCCGAAATTACACTCCTCCTCTGATCTCAGCACTGCAAGGCCTGCATGACATCTCCTTTATTTTGCTAGCATGTCCTGGGCTGTAGATTGTGTCCTGAAATGCATTTTACTTTTGATTTAACAGGAGGGATTTTACTGGGGGGAGTAGAATTTTGCCAGCGCGTGCACGTGAGGGGGGAGTCGGATTCTGCCGGGGAGTCGGAATTCGGCACAACACCCGGTTTAGGAGGAGACTCCACTCTTTACTCCGCAGCAGAGGAGGATATTTCACAAAGTAAGACCTCTCGGGCCACTGGATGGTTTGAGTCCAGCTGGAGCGCCTCTTACTGGACAGGCTTGACATCTGAGTCAACAGTGGACAACCAGCGTTACAGCCCAGCTCCCTCATCGAGAAGGAAACAGTCATGAGGAGCGGAAGATGCTGGAGGTGCATAGATTGTTCTAGGCTTGTGGGGTCGGATACTTTATTTTTCAGCAAAAAATTAATGTGGAAAGGAAAAAACACTGTATTGTTCTTATGCTTAAGTGGGCTGAGACTGACACATTTGTATATTTAAGAAAAAATATGCAAGAATTGATTACAAAACAACTCCCAGGACTCACACAAGAGTGAGCTTGACTGGGTCCCATAACAGCAACTCAACTGGGGCCCTACATCTGTAGCCCAAACTGTGGCCCATAAATGTACCTTAATAGGGGCCTACACATTAACCAAACTGTGGCCCATAAATGTACCCTAATAGGGGCCTACACATTAACCAAACTGTGGCCCATAAATGTACCCTAATAGGGGCCTACACATTAACCAAACTGTGGCCCATAAATGTACCCAATTTGGGGCCTACAACATTGCCTCAACTGGCGCCCATACATGTACCCTATTTGGGGCCTACGACATTAACCCAACTGGGGCCCATAAATGTACCCTAATGGGGGCCTACAACATTGCCTCAACTGTGGCCCATATATGTACCCTATAGGGGCCTACACATTAACCCAACTGGGCCCCATAAATGTACCCCAATTGGGGCCTACAACATTGCCTCAACTGGCACCCATAAATGTACCCTATATGGGGCCTACGACATTAACTCAACTGGGGCCCCCAAATGTAACCCAATGGGGGCCCATAAATGTACCCTAACTGGGGCCTATAACATTAACTCAAATGGCACCTACAAAATGTCCCCTTTGAAGGTATCTGATTATCAGATAAACCTAATTTGTGAAAATTATTCATTTTAAGAAATCAGTCTTTAAAGGACATGATCAGAGACTGCTGCCTTGACTGTTCCTGCAACATACTTTGTAAAACGCTGTTGGAGTTTAGGCCTACAGGAGCGTCTTAGTTCAAAAGATGATTCTTAAATGGTAAAGCTAGCATCACAGTGAACACTCACTCTACCAGTTAAGATGATGTTAAATGCTAAGATGCTTTTAGGGAGCCCAGCCCAGTTCTGTTTTGTAGGAGTAAAGTAGTGGCTCACTCTCATATCCTGGCTCAGAAAAATATACAGAAGAGAGACACTGTGCCCAAAGTTAAAAGGCCAGTTTAGGCCAGCATACCCGTTTAAGCAATTGAGATGTCAGAATAGGTGCCAGGAGTGAATATGAAACAAGACAAGAAGCCCAGCATTTCATAATCTCACTAAACTTTATTTTGCATGTGAAAATATAAGACAAAAAACAGTTGTGATGTGTAGAGAGAAAGAAAGAGAGAGGACAGCAGCTTTAGCTGTCGGCCTAGAAAGAGACATAGTAGTCCACTATACCAAAAAAGACTAATAAGGGTCAACTCCTGTGATGTGATGCAGGTGTTCACACTGAGCAAAACTAAAGACACCGTAACTCAAGTGCACGAAAAACGAACGAGGGTGAAAAAGGCATTTGCTGTGATCCACTGTAAACAATCAGGTGAACAGTTTTTGTCCTCCAGGGAAGAAAAGCGAGGTTATATTGCTAAGAGGTTTAAAAACAGGTGTGTGAACAGAGATGACTATGGAAGTCATTCAATTGGCACTATGGACACCAGGTCATTGGCATCAGTAGACTTAAGGTCTCCTCGCTCGTGTATGTGAACACATTGAACGCCTTCTTGGAAGTCAGTGCTACTAAGCATTACCACCTCTGTGTGAACAAAGGTTGAAATTCAGTAGAAAAAAAATAAGCAAGCAGGCGACCACATGCGGCACATGTACAAAAAGAAAAAAGCACTCCCTTTTATACTTCCCATTACAAGGCTGAGCATGTGGAATATGTTGCAAGAGCTTTTTTGTTGTCAGGTAGGGAGGCGCTGGCTGATAAACAATAGTTTCACAGTGTATGAAAGGTTTGGGGGCGGGGGGGGGGATTGGCAGATGTTGGCACACTGCATCGCCACTTTTGCATAGCTGAAGGAAACCACTCACAGCGGCACTGAAGCTGTGTAACTACGCTCACGTTACAAAACGTTCACTCTGTAACACCATGAAGCAACCCTTTGTTAACGTTCGCCCCTCCTGCTCTCCCCTATTTAAGGAAAGCAGCAAGCTTCTTCTCTATGTTGTCGAAAGAGTCTATTCCCATGTAGTCGGCCTGGCCCTGCTCCCAGCGCTGCTTTCGCTCCGCTGAGGAGATCGGGGGTGCGGCCTGCTCACACTGTGGCACCTCCTATGATAGAGAGAGGGATAGATAGATAGATAGATAGATAGATAGAGAGATAGAGAGATAGAGAGAGAAATTAAATTGCAGTGGAAAAAAAAGGGCCACAGTGGAACAAAAGTGCAAGCATTACCAACAGAAAGACGTGTTGATTGTATGGCTGCATGTACTGATTTG